AAGTTTTATGACTTTGTTTTTCACTCAAAAGCACACCAAGGGCGTAGTAACCTTGTAGCTACCTCCGTCCTACTTACGGGATCTTATGATACACAGGCTGTAATGTTAGAGCTCCCAAGACGCCTGCAACACAACCTGTGACAGGTTGGAGCCAACTGATGGCGTTTAGCTCAGAAAATGGTGTTCCTCTGTGGAGTGTTGTAGAGGAGGGCAGTGATCTGTTCCTTGTCTCTGTGGTGGGTACAGTGAAACCTGATGGACCTGAATTGCTGCCTTTGGTTTAGGCAAAGTGTTAGGGGAAATCTGTGGTGATGAGGATGGAAAGGATGGGAAGAGGGACTCGGAGAACACACTCAGCAACTGGAGGTGTTCAAGAGCAGGGTAAACACCTGTCAAGAGTGACACCAGAAACCCACAATCCCCCATTATTTTGGGCTGCCCCTATAATTTTTTATTTGAGCGCTGTCTCCATCTTTCACAATTTAAAAAAACTTCTTGGATTCTCCTTCCCTACCCCATTTGGAAATACACCTCCACACTATCCAATCTATCCCTTTCCCACACAGTTGTCTTCTGCTGTGGGCTGGGATGAAGCCCCCAGGGCAGTGCCAGGAGAGGCAGCGGGGGCTGGTGTGAGGGTCACAGGTAGGAAACGCATGCTGCTACCCGACAGGAAGAAGTTTCCCAAGGCAGGGATGTGATGGGCTCTGTGTTGACAGGTGTATTCAATAAGTAAGAGAAGGTTTGCTGGTTTGTATCAGTTATTCACTTTGCAAGCCTTGAAAAGCAGTAGCATGATCCCCGTCATCTTTCCCAGCCCTACTATTTCTTTTCTTTCTCTTGAAGATCCAAAATTCACTATGAATGCTAGTCCCATTTTTCCAGTTAGCTGTCCAGCCTCTGAGTATTATATAGCTGTCACTTTAGGTACTTGAGCATCTTTTCACACCTTTTAGAATTTTTCTGCCCTCTTTAGAATGAAATTTGAAGCATCCCTTAGGTGAATTTGACATCTCCCTTGTGAACTGGCCACCTCTGCTATGAATTCTTAACACTGAACACTTGAGTAGCTTAGCATGTGACAATCTCAAACACAATGTGACACCGTTAACTCTTATTGCTCAATATTATGAGAAGATGCAATTCTGTATGAGCCCCTTCAAGTCCTATCACCTTCTCAGGGGCTGAGTGCAAACCCCCAAGATTTGTTGTTTTGCTTTGTGAGGTGGTTTTGTCTAAGGAAGAATGTTTGGGATGTACTCCAGGTCTCTGAGAGAAGGATTCTCCATGGTTGAAATACCTTTTGGTTTGACTGCAAATGGTCCTATACTGCCAAGCTATCTACAAACTGTGTCATCCCTCTTGCTCCCTGCAAATGAAAGGAAGCATTTTGCTATTAATTCCCTTTCAACTATACTTAATATGAATAATAACGATCTCATTAAAGACTGACAAACCTGTCTATTTTAGAAACTTTATTTTAACATGGGATGATTTGAATTTCCATAGATAAATTAGGTGCTAGCCTTGAGTAAGTACAAATTTGCAGATAATTAAAATCAGGATTAGTGAGAGAAGAGGTGAAAAATGGGGGTCAGATGCAAACCATCATGGGTCAGGCACTGTCAGTTTTGCTCTTGCATTTTTGTGCTCTTCAAAAAAAAGTTTTTGATTCTGCTGGTTAGAACAGGTTTCTAATAGTTTGGTGCACTCATTTCTAAGCAGGGCCTTATCTCAGCGACAGTGATAAATTCTCTCACTTAACTAAAAGTTGCAGACTAAAAGGTTTAACTATATACTGAGTGTCCTTGCAGCTTTATAGAAATGCTTCAAAGATGCCTGAAATAGGTGCAAGAAGTTCAATTTAGTTTAGGAAATATATATATAATTTTTTTAAAATAGGATGATGTATTCTTTGAAATTAATTTGGGATTTCCTTGTGGACAGCGCTTTAAATATTGTCTGTGTCTTGTGGTCAGTGCCTACCTTATCTTTTGGCAGCCATTTTGTATGGGTGATAAAATGTGGATTCAGCTTAACATGCTTTGAAATGGAACTGTTATTCTTGGAATAAAGTAAAGTGCTTGAGGTAACATGCAAAATTCATGCAGTTTCATTGTTCAAGGAATGAGATAATCATTTATAAGAAGTGCAGGATTTAGAAGTTGTTTCAACCTCTGGCAGATTGCAGTGGTCCCCAGCTTGAGATCTTTTTGTGATATAGTTAAGGGTAAATGCTGGAAAATGTAAGTTTGCACACTTCTGATTTGAGCAATAAAGAGCTTTATTTCTCATTGCTGGTGGAGCACCATTCATGCAAGTCTATACCTTTTTAATGCACCATTAGAATGCTACTGCCAACCTATAGGTTTCAAAATTTTTAACAGACCTTATTCTTCTTATGGACTTTTTTTAGTACATCAAAAGCTGTACCACTTGTAAGTGTTTCAATGGGAGTTTTTCAGTGCCATGCAGAAGGGAAGTCTGGTGTAGGAGACTTTCCTGTAATTTAATCTACGGGGTTTGGATGAGACATCAGAGCCTAGAAAAACTACCTTGTGCGTTGAGTAATAAAACTTCTAATCGTTGCTGAAATTGACCCTAATGCATCACTCTCAGCTGCTGTAGAACAATAACATTACCTGGAACTAGCCTTTTAACAGAGGCAGTAATGATAAAAGTAAATCTGGGTTACAAAGTTTCCCAGAAAGTAGAATACAGGGAGGGGTCTGATGACAAGCAACTTGGTTGGTTTTTCTGGGTAGAAGTGAGGAATGCCTTCATTCCTCGGGCAGTCCTATGGACTAACATAGGCTTCAGCCTTTAGGGTTGGCTTAGGTACATGGCTTTGGGACCTTGACTCTAGACCAACTTGATATTCTTTGAATTCTCTACAATTACAGCACCCACATGTCACCAGTGACTCTTCTGGTAACAAGATGTCAGTGAATTGAAGAGCCATCCTCAGTTTTCATTTTTACTGTTTCCCTTTGTGTATCCCAAAAGTGCAGAGAGGGGTTTGTTGTAAAGATGTGGTCTTCTTCCTCTGAAGACCTCAAGCATACAGCTGGAATTTGGCTGGGTGCTGAGGTTTCTTTGATTACTTTTAGAAATGGGACTTCCATCTTCTGAGATACTGAGGCTTCATCCTAAAGCTTGAAGGGAGTAGGGGGCACATAAGGTTCCAATAGAGGGTTCATGAACAGGAGTAAAAAATGTAACTGCCATCTTTCTTTGTTTCTGATATCCACAATTTTTATGGTAAAAAGGTAATTTCTATTCTGTTTGAAGAGCCAAACCTTTACTTTAGTTGTCACTTAAAAAAACCCCAACCAATGAACCAACTAAGCTGCTGCATCCCCCTTACTGTCTCCTAAGTCTCCCCAGTAACCAGAACCCTAAAAACAGAAATACATTTTGCCACTGTGGTAACTTGCAGGTTGAAGATCATTGGAGTAGGGGGGTGGGGGGGAACCATCACCTGCAGAGCTTCTAGCTATTTGCAATTCATTCATTTTCTTGTAGGAGAAAGTGAAAAGTTTCCTACAAGATATAGGGGTGATAAGGAAAAATCAATGCTCCACTGTGTGTTTCCTAGATGTATCAGTGGCCTGGTTCCTACCTCCTGCAGTACTTCAAAATTTTAGGTGGGAATCTTCTCTTACTGTCCATCAGTTCCCAGTCCATCAGTGTAATGTCTACTTTAGCTGCCAAGTTTCTGCCCCTCATCATCACTTGGCTGTTTCAAAAGGAGGGAGCTGTGGAGTGTTACTGGGGAGCAGTTGTGTGGATGTGAGCTGTATTCCACTCCTACAAAAATCAGGAGCAGAAGCTGGTGAGTAGTGGTTAGCACATACTGAGGGACCTAAAGCTTGTCACAGGCCCTTGAGGGGGTCACCTGGTCAGGGACAGCAAGACAAACAGTTGAAGGTGGGCAGTTGCCATTATCATAGCACTGTGTTTGGGGGTAACTTGGTCCATGTCTTGGCCCCCTGAGGATGAGAAAGCTGCAAGAGTGGCAGGAAGGAGTGGAAGAACTGTTATGGAAATGGTGATTCAAAGAGGACAGGTTTTTTAGAACTTACACTAATTCCCTCTGCTTCCCATTGATGCTTTGCAGAGGTATTTTGCAGAAGCTGGATTACTTCTGGATTAGCTGTGCATTTCTGCCCTTGGGATGTGTCTTGGTTTGAAAGACAGGTGTCTGCTAAGAAAGGCAGGGCCTCTCTTCAAATGGAAAATGTAAACCTCTTCCCTCCAAATTATTATAACTTTGAAATTAAGAGGCTCTCAGGCAGAGAAATGGGAATAGGAATAACAGTTCTTTCTTTGGAAAATTAAAACAAAAATACTGTAATACAAAAGAACAAAAACTCTGACAGAGTCAGAATGCAACCTGACACCCCATCAGTCAGGGTGTTGGTTGCAATTTGATTAAATGATGGCTGCAGTCCCCCTGGAGTGACAGATGTGGTTCAGTTGAAGCAGTGGTCCTGTAGAAGGGTGCAGTTTTCCTCCAAAGGTCTAGTGAGGATGTAGAAGGGTCTGGCTTCCCTCTGGAATCCAGTGGAAAAGGCTACTCTGAGGTTCCAAATCTCAGATTTTTATCTAGGTAGGAAATGCTTGGCTCCTCTCCCTGGCTGGAGCATCTCCCAATGGGATGATGCAATTTTATCAGTCATGCAGTGGGACTCAATGCATTGACATAAGCTATCTCCCTGGAGGAAGGATGGATCATGGAAGTGATAAAGAACAGACCCCCACCTAGTTTTAACAGATGGTGACAGAATACTTTTGATTAAATCCAGCATTGAAACCTGATACTGGGTGACTTCCATATTTACAATTTTGGTGAAAAATAGCTAATTATGAATAGCTATTTTATGTCATTAGAGTTACTGGAATCCTATGGGGATATTGACCTTTTAAGATGTAGCCAAAATGAAGCCAGTGTACAAATCCAGTACAGTAATTTCACGACTATAAGGCGCACCCTTTTGACTAAAATTTTCCCTCGAACCCGGAAGTGCGCCTTATAGTCCGGTGCGCCTTATCTGAGGGACAAAGCAGTGAAAGTTGACAACCCGGAAGTGCGAGCCGCAAGGGGGAGTGGCCCCGCATCAGGGCTGGGCTGTGAGGGGGAGTGGCAGCGAGGCTGTGCCGGGCTGTGCCGGAGAGTGGCCCTGCAGCAACGTCGGGATGTGAGGGGAGAAGGGCTCCGTGGGGCAGGCCTACCGACATCGGGGCGTCCCCCATGCAGCATCGGGTTGGCCCCGGTGCGGGGTGGGGTAGAAAGCCACCGAAATCGGGGTGGCCCAAGGGCGGGGGGAGT